CGCACGCGCACACACACACACACACACACACACACACACACACACACGGCATGAAGAGATGTGATCCCTGAACCTTTCTCTGAGTGTTCCCTGAACAGCAGATTCACACTGCATTGTGTGTTTACATGTGTGTCCCGCCCCCAGCTGTAAGGAAAAGGCAAACCATCTAACCTTTCAGACAGTAACAGCTCCCAAGCAGGAAAGGGGAACCTGGTCCTCAGCTAACATGGCAGAAATTCTTTTCCGTGAAAAGCAAGGGTTGGTTGGTTGGTTGTCTGCAGTTACCATTCTGAGTCCTTTAGAAAGAAAGGCAGACTCCGGACAGAGCTGTTGTTTTTACTTTGAGTTGAATGGCACTGTTCACAGCTCCGGGTGGCACCCATTTGTTATTAAAAGTCATTTCTTACGGCACAGTTTCTAATTTGCCACAGAATGATAACCTAGGAGGCCTTGGCAAATTAATTGGAAGCCTTCTCCTGAGGTAGCTCCTGCATTTTTTTTTAAAGAGTAACTCTCAGTAGAATTTATCAGTAAATTGCTTCATATATCTTCAGCATTAAATTATTTCCCCATTAAGGAAATTGTAATTCTTTTCTTCCCAATAATGAAAGAAAAATGAAACTATCTTCAAACTATTCTGGCTTGGCTGTGGGCCCTTATTTCAGTTATTCCTGGAATGCCTGCCTCAGAAGCCATTCAATGCATAAAGCTCAGGAAAAAGTGATGAGGAAAAGATTGCGGAAAAACAGAGATTAGGACTTCAAATAAATGCCATCAACTGAAGAAAACTCAAGGCCAAAGAAGGAGAGGACTGCTCCCTCAAGGGAGGAAGTTGGTGTGGGGGAGGGGCGGAGCAGGAAGTAAGTCTAGTCTCTTACTGGACTTCCTGAAGTCCATAACCTTGGAGGCTGTTGTGTGCTCCCTCGCTGCTAAACAAGGAGAGAGCACTGGTAACAGTCTTTCTGCCCTGTAGTCACCCCTGGGCACTCGTGAGTCAGGTAGACAGGTGGGAGATCTGCCCACCCCTCTTAAGTGGAGAGGAGATCCTAGTGAGACCTCAGATATGTGGTCTACCCATGCTTCTTTCTTTTTCAGTGTTTCTTCTGGTTTGTCTGTTTACCAAGAATTAAATTACAAACCAATGATGGGAGTACCCCACCTCAATGTACTGCACCAAACCCTGCTCATGGTTCTCCCTGACACTTGGAGAATTAAGTCAACAAGCATGGTGGATTTTCTGGATTTCGTTTATTTGTGTCCAGGCTTGACTAGGTAGCGGTGACCGTTACATCCTGTCTTTTGAGAATCTCTGTGAGGTCTCCAGTCACTGGACCTCTCTCTAGTAATCTCGGGTGCTGTCTCGGCTACAAAGGTTAAGACAGAGTAAGTGAGATAACTAAGAGAGATTTTGTAGCAGAACAGAATTGACTCAAATCTCAAATAGATCAGAGACTTCAGTGTGAGACCCCAACTTCTTACCTGCTGGAAGAAACATGGGGGACACTTCAAACCCAGGCACAGGCTGAGGGAGCTGTGGCTCATCAGACATACAAAGGCATGGAAGGAGAAGGGGACTGGCTGGAAAGAGAAAGGAGGCCAGCAGAAGAGGGCAGGGCAAAGCAAGCAGTGGGGTGGTAAGTATGATAGAGACATGCCATTATTATGCACAGGCATGCCACAGTAAAGTCTGTTATTACATATGACTGCATACTAATAAAACATGTCATTTACATGCACAGACATGCCACAGTAAGATCTGTCATTACATATGACTACACACTAATAAAACATGTCATTTACATGCACAGACATGCCACAGTAAAATCTGTCATTACATATGACTACACACTAATAAAATATGTCATTTACATGCACAGACATGCCACAGTAAAGTCTGTCATTACATATGACTACACACTAATAAAACATGTCATTTACGTGCACAGACATGCCATAGTAAAGTCTGTTATTACATATGACTGCACACAATACTCTGGTTTCTCTTCAGATTGTATAAATCTTTCACCTTTTACATATGACTGCACACTAATAAAACATATCATTTACATGCACAGGCATGCCATAGTAAAATCTGTTATTACATATGATTGTACACTAATAAAATTACAATAGGTTTGAGAGTAGATAAGTGTCAAATGCTTATCCTGGTATTCTTACTATAATATAACTTCCTGCTTATACTGTGATGTCCCAGAAATCCGTGTGTTGGCTTTAATGTGCACAGAGGACAAATTTAGGGTTTATGCATGTTTGAGGCCACCTCTTAGTGATTGTTGTAATTATCTGTCTTTCTTAACACCAGGACAGCCATGTTTTCTCAGCCTGGAGTATCATCAAGCCTCCAGCCCGACTTTCTGCACCTGTCTGTTTTATATAGTGCTGCTGTGTCTTCGGGGCATAGAGCAAAACACAGATGAGTTTTAACCCTTAAAATCAAACAAGCTCGAGCTTTAAGAGAATGAGAACACTTGGTTTCCTTCTGCTGTTTCTGGGTGACTAGAGGTGACATATGAGAGCCAGAGATACAGAGAGATCTGAAGCAGCCCGTGTAGGTCTGTGTCCCAGTATTGCCTTCCTCCGCGTGAGTGTGGGAGACTCCACCTAAGCCTGCTGCATTTGCTTTTATAGATCATGCAACAGATGAGTGACCATCGTTACGACAAACTCACTGTACCTGATGACATGGCCGCTAACTGTATATATCTAAATATCCCTAACAAAGGGCACGTCTTGCTGCACCGAACCCCAGAAGAGTACCCAGAAAGTGCAAAGGTAAGAACATCATCTCCCCCGCAGCTAGCCTCCCTGGGGACTGTCTTATGATGGAGTGACCAAAGAGGACATCCATTTTGCTGGAAACACTGAGGCAACAGGAAGGATCACCAAAAGCAAAAGAAGAGCTTATTTACTTGTGTTTGGTGCCATTGGTCAGCCACGCGTACACAGTGGCTGGGATGCTGCAGCCTGCTGCTCAGAGTTTATCACATAAGCACTCCAGGGGTTGTGGGGATGGCTTAACTGCAAGAGCTCTGGCTTAACAAGCATGAGCGCTGAGTGTAGTCCTCAGAACTCTGCACAAGTGTGGTGACACACACCTGTAACCCTCTCAATGAGAGGTAGAGGCAGGGGTTAGAAGTTCAAGCCTGACTTCAGCTGTACAGTGAGAGTTTGAGGTTAACCTGGGCTACACAAGACCTCTCAAAAAACTAAAAACTCTCTGCTCCAGCTCTCAGTGGGCATCCACCATGAGCTACCTCATTTGCTTCTGAAGGCACAGGAGCAGAAACGGGCTTTGGAAAGAGGGGACCCACACATCCTGGTGGCAGGAAGATAGAGCAGGAAAGTGTGTGACTCCCTTGCAGTCTCCACCCAAGTCTCTGGACCTGGACTTTTTCCTAAACTAAGGAGGTCATTATTGTGTCAGGGCAGTACTCTATCTGCTTACTTCCCTGTTTCAGCATAGAGTTCAGAAGAGCTCAGCCACTGGGTCTTCAGGGTCTCTAACCTCTAGGCTTGTGAGATCATCCCTCCCCAGAGGAGTATGACATTTATAAGTGACATTTAGTGGAAGGACATTTAGTGACCATCGATTTTCTTTATGTCCTATGCTTTGAAAAATATGGCATGTTGCTTTATGCTGTTTGCCTGTGAGTGCATGTGTGTGTGTGTGTGTGTGTGTGTGTGTGTGTGTGTGTGTGTGTGTGTGCATGTGTATATGAGTGTGTGGGGGTGCATGTGTGAATTGTGTGGGCACATGTGGGGGTGCATGTGTTCGTGCATGTGTGTGTGTATGTGTGGGTGCATGTGTGGGTGGGTGCACATACATGTGCATGCAGAAGCCAAAGGACAACATTGGACCTTTCCTCAGAGGTCACCTACATTTTGATTTTGTTGTTGTTTTTGTTTTCTGAGATGGACTCTCTCCCAGGCCTAGAACTCACCAAGTAGGCAAGGCTGACTCCCAGCAGACCTGGGACCAGACCACAGGCCTCCACTGCCTCAGAGCTGGGGTGACAAATGTGTGCATCACCACATCCAGCTCTTGGCAAAGGTCCTCGTGCCTTCAAGGCACTCACGTTTACTGACTGAACCTTTCCCCGGCCCTTGCTCTACTTTTTGCATAGGCAGGACTATATTAAACTAGGTTTATCCTCTAATCATGGTCACTCTGTTAGTACTTGAAAAGATGGAGAGCAATTTTGTTCTCTTTCCATAGCAGAGATGTGGACCTAAAAAAAAAAAAAAAAAAAAAAAATAGGACTTCTAATCCCAAACAAGGACTAAAGTAGCTACACTCTATTTATTTATTTATTTATTTAGTTAGTTAGTTTGTTTGTTTTCGAGACAGGATTTCTCTGTGTAGCTTTGGAGCCTATCCTGGCACTCGCTCTGGAGACCAGGCTGGCCTCGAACTCACAGAGATCTGCCTGCCTCTGCCTCCCAAGTGCTGGGATTAAAGGCATGCCCCACCAACGCCCGACAGTAATTACACACTTATGTGCTGGAATTGTTAGCAATGCAGGTTCCAGGGCCCCCAGCCTAGAATCTGCAGTATGAACAAGCTGTGAGTCCATACAACCTACTTTGAGGACTTCATGCCTCCTCAGCCTCATTGATCACCTAGCAACCAAATATTAACTGCCTCTGAGGTCAGCCCAGTGCCCTCAACAGTAGAGCAGTATCGGTAACACCCTTGTTTACCAAGGGGCCTTCTGAGCCAGACACTGTGCTAAGCATGCCTTGAACACTATCTTTAGTCCCTGTAATAGCCCTTTGGTGGTAGTATCCCAGCCTTCCAGAGAGGAGGGCAAGCTTAGAAAGACCGTCACCCAACTGAAACGGCAGTAGCAAGCTGACGGGGCTGGATTTGGATCCCGCCAGCTCCCACACACCAACCAATGCGCATGGTGTTTCTGAAAGAATCAGGGCAGGTTGTTTTTAAGCTGAGTTTTCAAGTAATTGATCATGGGGGGATCTGTGGACTGTGAATTAGATGTTTTGACATGTACTTTCTATTATGGTTGAAAGATGCTATAAAATTCACACCTGTAGTTTAAACACAGTGTGACCGGCAGTGCGCACTTAGCTTACATGCTGTCACATTCTCGTGGTGGAGCTGGTAAGGAAAGGAACATGAAAGTGTAGTTAAGAATGCATTAAAGGGAAGCCAGGGAGGATGTTGGAACTAAGCGCACAGCCGTGGAGTTTGATTATCACTTAATCCAGGAGCGACAATGGCAGAGTAAAGGCAACGCTAGCAACAGTCATGTGGGTGACACAGCCTTCGCTTCCAAGTTACGGCATAGAATAAGCGGTCATCCATGTGTGGCCAGCCTTTGAGAAGCTGAAATACCATCTGCTGATCCCTGTGAGCAATTCTGAAATGGAAAAGGTGGACGGTTTGCTCACCTGCTGTTCCATTTTTATTAACAAGAAGATAGACTCCTGAGCCCAAGAGCCCCTCCCCGGTGGCCAGCAAGGTGGCCAGGCCAGGCTGATGACTCTGTGCCCACTCCTCTTGTTTTCCTTGACAATCTACTGTGCCACTGTGCTACTAACTCTTGTTTACAGAAAACAAAATTAATTCCGATTTTAACTGCTTCATTTTCCACACTCTCCCTCACCTCGCCGTGGCACCTAACCTGTGGATTGCTAAATGAATTAAGCAACCTAGAAAATACAGAATTAATGAATTATTAAAAATGTGATTAATGGTGTGGAAACACTCAGTTCAGTGTTTGTGTGACTGGTGTGGAAATAGTTTAGTTGCAGAGTATTCTAAAGACCGCCTCCCTGATCAGCAAGATAAGTGAGGGACTTTTCTCCTCTGTATCATGAGTCACATTTGGTTCCTGTGAAATTCCCTGGCCCATGGATTTTTCCCATTCCCCTCTCTTCTACACTCTAGAAAGCTTTCTCCCAGGTTCTCTCTTCAGCCTTTCCCACTTCTGCCATAGCCACCTGGACCTAGGACTTATCCAAGGTTGTGCATTTCTGGATGCCTTCCTGACGGTCTCCTTCTCCTCTGCCTCATGGCCACATTTCCTGCCACCAGTAACCCTCCCTTCCCTAGGGCAGCGGAGCTGTGGCCAGAATCAGAGCAACTGGTTGGGGAACAGGAACCTCATGGAGACACATCCTGACAGGGTTTGCGTGAGACCTGAATACCGGAAGGGGTAGTTACCACACCTAGGAAGGTAAATTCAGCCCCAGGTGGTTGACATGGGATGTTAGATCCAGAAGCCTGGAAAAAACCCATGGGCACATCTTAGAAAAACGGAGTCACTTGCCATGATTTTGCCTCGTGACTGGTCCTATAGAAGCATGGAAGACAGTCTTTCTCTACCCACCCCAGCCCCCTTTTCAGCTTCTTTCTGACTCACTTTGTATCTACCCCCTTAGAATGATCATGACCTTGAAAAGTCATTTCCTTCAAAAGAGGCATAGCATCTAAATGATTGTTGATGGTCTGGAAAGAGTCAAAGGGAGCTGCCTCCACCTATGGTCTAGGAGCACAGTCGGGAAATGGCTCCTATAGTCAGCCTCAAACAATGTGTTAGTCTCCTTTGAAATATCCATGAATGTCTACTGTGGAATTTGGCTGAAACTTGTTTCCTCTCTAGCCTTCAAATTACACAACTTTCAGCCCTTAACAAAACTGGCACAGGTCTCTTACAAAGAACAATGTCACGGCAAAGGAAGAGAGCATTCCTTTCCTTAAAAGCTGCAAGAGTCGGGCCAAGGGCACGGTACTTTACAAGGAACAGTGACCCAACCAGGCACTTCATCAAACTATGGTCACTTTCATCTTTGCTGTGTAGCCTGCAGTTTGTCATTCAATATTTAAATCTGGGAAGACAAAGAAAGATCACTTTAGACCTATCCCTCTTCCCCTCCCTTGGTGATCAGTGTTCCTTATCTTCATGAGCAAGAGAATTGCCTTTATTGCATCCCCCCCCCCCCTCCCAAGGAGTAACCTTGCGGATGGACGTGAGTAACCCCTGTGAAAATCACGACATCACTTACTGCTATTCCTCTTTTACATGTATTTGACAACTTTCTGAAGAAATATGTTCCATCTCTTCCATGTTGCCTAACTTTACACCCCGATCACATGCAAAGATCTAACTGTGTACATCTGTGAATGAACCATATCTTGGCCACTATCATATTTCAAAATATCTCATCATGGGTGAATAATATGTTTTTTTCTTTTCAGGGCAAATGAATATGAGCCACATGCCCAAGTTAATAAAGAAAACTTGTTCTCAGCAATTAGGGTTGCCCTTTGGGGTTAAATTTGGCTCTGAGCTGGCAAAAAAGCAGAAATTCTCCCTGTGAGAGGTAACCATCTCACAATCAACCACAGGCAAAACAAGCCACTGAGCCGGTGTGGGCTAACTGACTTGTAATTGTCACTAGCCTTCTAGCCAGCTAGCATCCTGATTACCTGATTACAGAACCGTCGGGTTTAGCCAATTACAAGTGAATAGATTTTGCACTGTGACAATTCTTCTACCAAAGGTGATTTTTCCACCCCCGTTTCCTTTGCTTCCTGCTTTCCTTGTTTGTCTTGAGAAATCATTTAGCGTCTCTGCCTCTTCGCCATCTTACTGTGCTCAGCTACATCACAAATCGGGCTGGCTGCTCTGGACTCCCCGTGTGTACATGATGTGAACATTCAAAATGCTTGCAGCACAGTGTCCTTGCTTCTTTGATGTTCTCATCAGCATAGTGTCAGCCTCGTGTCCACTGTGCTCCCAAAGATGGAAGCACTAACAAAAACTCTTTTCCACATTATAAAGAATGAGGAATTACATTTAAGGATAAGTCGAGTTAGAATTATTGAGTCGGTATGATCTGGTTTAATGAAAAGGTGATCTAGACGGAACACATTATTGGGCATTATGTCTTAGCTGTGTGGGTTGCTATAGGAATCAGCTGCAGATCTCTCTATGGTGTGTTAATTGCTCTTCTGTGCTTCTAGGAACCAATTACTAAGGCCATCGTCTCTCCATCTCTAAGAAGGGAAAATAAAATAGTCTAGTTTAACAGTGTGGCTTATGAAGGGTTGCATGTTAGTCTTGGTAATTATTCACTCTTTAACATGCTACAGAATTCAGACATGATTTCCATGGCGTGTTAGGTTTGTGCTTTTTTATCTTCTTGGCTGTCATCCTCCAGACAATGTACGGTTTTCTAGTCTGTGTGCCAAAGCTAGCTATGTCTCCCACAACCCGTTAGTTCTGAGGAGTTCTGCACCAATACGAGTTTCCTGCTGCCCAGTCCTAATGTGTCCCAGTAATGACAGAATAAAGTGTGAGTTGTGCTGTGCCCAGTGGTGTCCGGGTCTTCTTTCACCATGTTACGCAGCTGAATGGTTTCTCTTTGCTTCTTCATGATGGGAAATAAAGGGAGTGGCGAGAGGAGGGAAAAGAAAGAGGAGCTAGAGGAGTGGGTATGGTCAAATACATGGTATATTTACAAGAAAATGTCTTTATGAAACCCGTCTCTATGGACAGTGAATATACAGCAATAAAATTGCTTTGAAATCAGTTTTGTTTTTCATTTGTTTTACAGTAATCATTGTAAGGAAGTTTGAAGGTCATTTTTTATGAGGTTTTTGTGTTCCAATAACTTTTTTTAATCTGAAAGGGCTGTGTTTCATTAAAAAAAAAAACAATAACTGCTTGCTGTACAAATAAAATACAAGTAACACAAAAAATACTATTTAAAAATTAAAGATGGGGTATAAAATAGCCTAGCAGTTAAAAGCACTTACCACAGAAGCCTGAAAATCTGAGAATCTGATCCCAAGACCCACATAGAAGAAGAGAACTGACCCCAAAAGTTGTCCTCTGATGTTGTCACTTGCAAGGTGGCATGAACATACCCATCCATATGTTCATACACACACAATGCTAGTAATAAGATGTATTTCACTTTTTAAAGACATAAACTACCCAAGATTTTATCACCCATAGATAACTACTGTTGATACTTTAGAAGATACCACACATTTATGAATAGATATTAATGAAAATTTTGAGTAATTTAACATCAGCGATAGATTAAAGGCGTCTTTCCGTCTCAATAAAGACAGATGTATATTATCAGCTGCAGCATCTCCTGATATTCCACTATGCAGTTACAGAGTGACTTTCTAAATCACACCGTTATATCTCACACGGCTGGTATGTCCACATTGCTACTAGGGCTCATCAGATTGTCAAAACTTGCCACTCAGAAGCTTCCGCACACCCTGTAGTTAGTTCTGTCCTGTCATATGGGATGCTCCCAAGCAGACGCACAAAGCAGTCCTCGAAGTCCTTGGCGGGGGTTGTTGATGTACTCCTAACTTCTCAGGTGATGCCCTTCCATGAATTTAGGTTGGCACTGATATTGCCAATAGAGAGAAAAATTGCTTGATGCCAAGTACCATTGTAGGGAACACCCTCACCATGACTCCTCAGGGCTGGCTACAGGTGTGCCTAGCCACACCCCCAGGGCGTGGTCAGGGTGATGTGAGGGCGGTTTAAGAGTGGGGGGGCACGCACCTGATAGCCCCTTCTTCCCTTTCATCATCAACTTGCTCTACTTACTTCGTTTCCTGCCAGCTGGCTAGGTGTTGGGAGCTGCAGCGTACCGCGCCTACAAGATGGCACCAGTTTCCGCCTTCCGCCAGCCAGACGGCGAATGCTCTCAGTGGTAAACAACTCCTTATTAGGAGAGAGGCCAAGTATCCTTCTAAATCTGCTTGGTGACAACCTATCCTAGCGTGCCACCTGGGCGTAGATGATTGGTAGTTGCTGACTATATTAAGCCCCGCCTTCCTTGGTTGGGGCCACTTCCTGTAAAGCAAGGTTCCTGAATAAACTGTAAGAAGAAGATTCCTCGGTGTTGCATCGGTCTTGCTGGTCAAGGGTGGACGAGACAGCTAGGTTGCTTTGTAAGTAAGGCATCTCCCTAATAAATACCCTAGTATCTTTACCTGACTCCATATTGGTAATTCACTCATTATACCATCTCTGCAAACCTACTCTTGACCCAAGAGGAAATGCTCCACACACACTGAGTGCTGGAGTCCAGAGCTCATCACCCAGGGGAAAGAGGGACCTTCCTACAGGACGCCTGCATGGCCAGGGCTCCCTAACTGATCTTGCCCAAAGCTTTTCAAGTGAACAAATAACTTCTCACAATAAGCTGCCATGTCTAGAAATGGGAATGCTACTGAAGACTACTAGCCAACAGTAGTTTTAATAGACAAGTGAGCATTCACTTAACAAGTGCCCTCCCTGGCCAGACCCTACACCACAGCCCCTGTCTTGTGAGACCTGCCTGCTTGGGAGGGGCAGGGAAGTAAGACCTCAAGTGCACAGATGTTTGGCTTAAACAACAGGCAACGTAAGAATCATCAAAGAACAAGGAGCTGTTGCTGCATCCAGGTCTTATTCACAAAAAGTGATGATGTGCACATGAATAGAAAATAGCAAAAGGGTTTTTTGTTTGTTTTAATTCAAAAGCAAAATAAAAGTACAAGCCAGATACATTGTCAGAGAACAGTGGGATATCTAAGCTGGAGTGGCAAACAGCACCAGGTTACTGTTTGAGACTTTCTTTTATGGGTCCCAGAGAAAGAAGACATGGTTGCTAAGAGCAAGGCATGATGACTTCACATTTTAACTGACAGAGTTGGGTTATATAAGGATTTGTTCACGTGCATACTTTTTCCCATAATGCATTTGATTTCAATCATATGCACTACGAAGTATATATAGATATAAGATGAAAAATGTAGGTTCCCCTGCCCCCCAAAAAAATACACGCAGAAGAAGCTGTCATCCTTACTGAGCGTACACCCACAAAGCAGTCCAATCTGG